TAGAACAAAATAAAAAATAAAAAAGACTGCAAGTGACGTCGCTAGCGGAAGTGCAGGTGTCTGAGAGTGCAAGCCTGAGAATGCACGTCGGAGAGTGCAAGCCTGAGAATGCACGTCTGAGAGTGCAAGCGCCAAGCTGCAGCCAGACCCTTTTGAAAGATACAGGCTCAAACGGATTAAAAACAGCAGAGCATGTAGATGGGGCTGATGGTTCGTAATCCGGTAGTTGGATAGATGGTCTAGTATCTTCAATCTTCTCAAAATATTTAAGAAAATTTTCACAAGTTTGTAAAGAAGCATCAAAACAATCAGAAGCAGGAGGATTAAGGCTGATTTATACTTCTGTGTCGGACCTACGCCGTAGCCTTTACGCCGTAGGCTATGTGTCAGTTTTCATTTATACTTCTGCGTCGTTGTCCGCGTCAACGTGCAGTACACATGCAAACCGCTAGTCAGCAGTGTCCACGGGCATGTTGCTGGTGTAACCCGCAGTACCACGGCAAAAGCCGAAGAGGCTCGTCGGAGAAGCATTATAGCCGTGACTGCGGCAAATAAATATCAAATCATTATTTAAAACTACAAAAAGGAGACAACAACGGAACAGGAGATGATGGCATTCTTTCAATCTGCACAAGGACTTGTACCACGGCAGATCAACATTGTTTGTTGCAGACAACTACTGATGTATAATGCTATGTAGTATAATAAATGATAAGACACTTGTTCTTTGCTTTGTTTTATTTTATATAAGAAGGTGTAACATTAAAATATATTAAAGTGCACATAAACACACAAAACGTCTGCGTAGAATTGACGCGCCGTTAGATTTTTGGAGAGCTGCACGTCAGGCTACGGCGTATGGGTGTGCGTCTATGCGTAAGCTACGGCGTAGGTTCGACGCAGAAGTATAAATCAGCCTTTAATAACAGAATTTAGCGTATTAAACAAAACTCTAGGTTTGTACCGATTTTTTTCAATAACATCAGATAAATAATTTGCCCTTGCCCTATTTAAAAATTTCTGATAATTGGCTAGAGAATCCTTAAAAATCTCATAAGAAATTTGAAGCTTGTCCTTCTTCCATTTGCACTCCGCTTCTCTACAAATCTGTCGGAGGGCACGAGCAGATTCATTTAGCCAAGGCTTTGATTTATGTTTTGTACGCTTAACCTTCAAAGGTACAATAGAATCTAAAATACTGGTACATGTAGAATTAAGCAGAGAAAGTAACTCTTCAGCACATAATTGCGAAGATAAGTTTGCACAATCCAAATTTAGAGGAGAAAAAACATTGTAAGCAGTGCAAAAATCATTAATAGTTTCAGACTTCACTGTACGGAGACAGCGGGCAGCCACACATGGTTTAACAACAGAACAAGGTAGAGAAATTTCAAACACAACAGACTTGTGATCAGAAAAACCAGTATCAGAAATTTCAATATTGCATACAGTAAAACCATGTGATAGAACAAGATCTAGGGTGTGACCATGTTCGTGTGTTGACCCAGTCACAGACTGAATAAGATTAAAAGAGTCAATAAGATTTAAGAATTCTTTAGCCAGAGAGTTTGAAGGACAACAAACATGAATATTAAAATCCCCAAGAATTAGCAGTCTGTCGTACTTTGTCATGATTCCTCCTAAGAATTCAGTAAACTCAAAAATAAAATCCTTATGTAATTTGGGAGGTCGGTAAACCAGCGCACATAGCACAGGATTGATTAAATCAATTTGCAACAATTGCAGTTCAAAACTGGAGTATACATCAGCCGGCAGTCTCTGACAGCCGAAATGTCTTTTAAAAACTGATGCAAGTCCTCCACCTCGACCAGTAGTATTAAAAATTAAGAATTAAAAAATGTACACTCCGGTGGCACAAGTTCCGAAAAAGGGCTGCTATCCCCAGCATTAAGCCAAGTCTCAGTCAGAAATAAAAAGTCCAGACCATGTGAAGTAAAAAAGTCGTTCAATATAAAAGGACTCATTTACTAATGATCTTGAGTTAACCAGAGCCATCCTGACCACAGTCGGGTCACCAGCCAACCGTGATGCATGACATAGCGGCCGAAGATTCATTAGATCCACACCACCTCTGTGCAAACGAGACAAACGTACCTGAGGGGGAATTGAGTGGAAAACAGGTACAACAGGCCGAATCCAGCAGTACAACGGCTCCAGGCAACGCCAAGAAAAGTAGCGATCCTGGACCAACTCATATCGGCGAACAGAGGGGTAGGAATGGGGGACAGCAAAAGATGCCAGGTACGATTTCCATCTGATAAAGTACACCACCTCGCTTTCCACGTCTCCAACATCGTTTTCTCCCGGGAAAAGCACAGGGTAGCTGGCCTAAGCTTTCCAGAATAGTAGACGAAGGCGGAGGAAAACTGCCATTCGATTTCCTTAGATCCTTGTTAATCGATATTTCGACTGCATTTCGAATATCAAAAAGTGTTTGCTTGTCATAGACAAGTATAGTCGAAACATGCTGAAAAATTAGAGATAAAAACAGAACAATAACAAACAGCCAGATAGGTTGAAAACGGCAAGCCAAACGCACCGGTGCCATCGTCACAAAGTCCGGCGCCATCTTCCGCAAATTGAAATTTGCCTATTCTTTTCTGATGTACATGACAAACAGAAGAATTTTTACTCAGCTCTTTTCTATACAGGGTCGCTAAAGTTGAATTACACCATAAAATCAGCCCATGTAACAAAAAGATTATATGAATATAGTGCAGAAGTCATGTGGACTGTCTTTATGGTGCTTTTCTTGTGGTAATATTTGTTCTTTGCTGGAGCTTAAAAGTCCCTGCGCACTAAAAATCCTTTTTTATATTTTATGAAAAAAACTGGGCCACATGGGTTTGAAATGATGACAGATTTATCATTTTTAGGCGAAAGGACCCTTTAACTGGACGCTTCCTTTTAAGCACACACCTGAAAAGGACAAACCCAAAAAACAAATGGCTGCAGTTCATGAACCCTGGACTTTACTCAAAACTTGAATTTGTCTTGTCCAAGAGAGAGAACTAAGGCTGAAAACAACGACACACTTGAGTGAATGCCAAGTCTAAAGATGATAACTCTCCTACTTTGAGTTTAATGAATCAATTTTCTTAGACAAGTGAAATCACCAAAAGGCTACCACAAAAGCCAAGTAACACTCACAACATGCAAACATTCACTCTTTATCTTATGTCTGATATGCTGAAAATGGCTATGATTCTTTTCCATTGCTCATTACACCCAATGAGGAATTACATTGTGTGAAAATTAACATAAATAACATTGAGAAGTAAGATGTAAGCAGCTGAACATTCTTCAAGTGTTAAACAGCGCTGTGCAGGAATTCCTGCTCGGCTTATATGAACAATTTCAATCCCACCTTCTTTGATTTGATTGGCCATTTCAATCATTTTGTCATTGACGAGCACTGTTACACTGCTGCACTGAGCCCGAGCACGCTAAATAGATTAATAATTTTGACTCAAGTGGGCTGACGAAGAATACGTAAGTGTACTATCATTCACATTGTCCAGCGGCCCACTGGGAAAACTCCCAGTGCTCCAGATGGCCAGTCCACCCCTGGGCATATATAATATGAAGGTAATAATGTTTACCTATAGCATTATAAAGTGGTTCTCCTGTTTCCTTGTCCCAAACAAGGGTGGTTTCCCTCTGATTGGTCACACCAATAGCTGCAGACAGATTAAAACATGTGAAGAAATAAAAATAAACAGCCATGAGCACGTAATAGCATGTGAATGGAGAAATAAGTCATCTTGTTACCTTTAATGTTCGAGATGTCAATGTTGAGCTGGGTCAGTTTCTCACAGGTTCTGTCCATGCACTCATACACAGACTGAAGAATCTCTTTTGGATCCTCCTCCACCCAGCTGAGGGAAGACAATAAATCATTTTTAACAGGTTATTATAGTTAACTAAAACCATAAACAATTTAGTGATTTGAAATAAATAAACTTCAAATGAAATAAAATAAGAAATACATCAAAACTTTATTTTATACAATATTTCTCATTTAGTTTAACTTGTTCTACAAAAATAACTCAAACGGAAATTAAAAAAATAAATAAATAAAAAGTATAGACATTAAAAAAAAAACACTAAGAAATGTGACAAAAACACATAAAATGACTACAACTCTAATTAAAACTAAAATGAAAACAGAAAATATAAAACTATAATAGGATCTCAATACTAAAATAACCCTGGTTCTCACTCCAACCAGCCACATGAAACTTGCATGATTCTTAAATATAGCACACTGGGCATAACGCAGCGGACATCTCTGCCATCAATGTGAATGGAAGAAATCCTATTCAGCTCATCCAGAATAACAGTATGAACCAATAGTGAACTTATGATTTGAATCACAAGTTGTACTTTTACTATATTGCATAATCCATTGCCCCATTGAACCAGTGTGTGTCAACACAAAGGACACAATACTCACCCCTCTTTAGGAAAGCTCTGTTTAATCTCAACCTGATGGTGACTGAGAAGCTCTGCTGTTTTTGCATTGAAAACCTACAATTAAAAGAACAAAGAACTTAAGTTACATTTTTTTTTTTTAAGTTTTTGATCATATGAGTGTTCATTTTTGAGAGTTCATTTGAACACAATGAACATTTTTGAGAGTTCATTTTTGATAATATAAGATTCCAATCTGCCCCAGTTCAACGTTCAGTATTAGAAAGACACAAGTCACAGGTATAAAAACTCAATGTTTCAGAAAGAAACACCAAAGTTGTGTTTCTCTGACTTGTACCTGCTGCAATTCAGCGTTGTATTGCAGTGATTTGTCACTGATGTTGAAAACTGGAATTTCCAGCAATTAAATTACAAATGCATTAAAGGGGTCATATGATGCTGCTAAAAAGAACATTATTTTGTGTATTTGGAGTAATGCAATGTGTTTAAGCAGTTTAATGTTCAAAAAACACATTTTGCTCTGATTGGCCAGCTATCCAGTGCGTTGTGATTGGCCGAATACCTCAAGCGTGTGATGGAAATGTTATGCCCCTTACCATATTGTGATGCCGTCTCCCGGCACGGCGAGACAAAACCAGTAAAGCCCATTATAAACTTGCGTTTGAATCATCAGTGGCAAATTCTTTAAATATGAAAACTTACTTACAGGCTGTGAGTCAGAAGCACCAGACTGTCCTTGCAAAGTTGGAATTGCCCAACTTTATAGAAACAGACATCGGCATTGTAGGCTACTCTCTCAGGAAACAGTCCTCGTCCTCCATAAAATGCGCTGCACACATCTGAATATTTGGGTTGAACTGTTCTGGAACAGTGTTGCAAATACAACTTAACCACTGATTTGTAGTTGTGTCCTCTTTTGGAAGACCAAACAAAGTAGTTTCACTTTCACAACGAAACACACAGCACCTTCACGACATGGCGGCGGCGGCAGCAACAATACTACAGCGAGAATCAAAGTTACGCCTTCTTTCTTTGCGTGAACATTTGGGTGGCATTATGCAAATCTTCCCACATAGTGAGGTAGATATGTGGGGGCGTGTTAGAACAAGCCGTTTTAGGTAGGCGTGGTTGACTCTTAACTTTTATAAAGAATATCTCTTTGGATTTGAGACTTTAGTCTTTGCAACTTTACAGATCTTCTTTATGCACCAAGAGCTTGTAACACTCCAAAGAGAAAGGAAAAATTTAAATCGCATCATATGACCGCTTTAATCACAGTGTTTGACCTCAATGTGAGCTTTTCTGTTGAGTAATGTTCTGGCCACAACATTTTAACAATATGAGTAATGTTTCTTTGTCAGGCCCTGGAATTACAAGCTCACCCTCTTTAAACACAAACCCCTTCCTATTGGACACACACAGAAAAGATATTGAATTGCATTGTCCACTTTTAGTGCCACAACCTTGTCAGATCTAACACTTACAGCCCACAATAGCCAACAGCAACATTTCTAACAGAGCACCATAAGCAGGGTTTCTGCATGTAAACTTACGACTTTCTTAAGAAGATTTAAGGAACACAATGAGTTCCAACAGATCTCCACTACTTTTTAAATCATTTTACAAAAAAAAAAAAAAACCTTAAGGTTTGAATAGCTCTGATGCCAAATACTAGAATATAGAAATAACTTTACTGTACATTCTGATCACATTACAAAAAAAAAAAAAAGTGATGTTCTTGATTAGTATTTCCTTCTTGTTTAGTTTGTGGAATGGCGAATTAAAACTTTTTTAGACCAGCAGAAATCCGCACAAGACACGAATGGAATCAAAACACCCAAGTTACACCTCAGACAGTATCTCATAGACTTTTTGGAGAAACTCATTTAAAAAGTTTGGATGTTCACACAAAACATCATGATTACAGCGGTCATCATTGTGGGAATTAAAGTGTTTTAAACAAACATTTGAACTTTGTAAAGCTGCTCAAATCCAAACATTGTGTAACTGGGTAAAACGAAGATTATTAGCAAGATGAATTTCACAGATTCTGAGACACAAGCACTGAACAAACATAAAACTAACTAGAAGGATTGGCATTGTGCTAATGAGCAGATTCAGAAACTAGACGCAATCCACGTGGGTAACTGGCAAGACAGAAATCCAGCTGAACCGGCTCCGAAACATTTACACGCGTTGGCAAGGGCACGGAGGTCTCTCCAATCTTTGTCTGTATGCGAGCCACTTGAGCTCCACCACAACACGATGACAGTCCTCAGGATGCGACTTACCAGAAAGCGCGTGGAACTCGTGCCTTGGTCGATAGCGGCTACAAGGGGGCCCAGCATGATCCTGTTCGACGATGCAGCCATTGTACCGTTCATTGAATCAGTGAGGGACCACAGCAGCCAGAAATTTAAGACTGGACGGACGCTGGCTGGCGTGACGTCTGCGAGTACGCGCCGCGGCACGTGATGACGTAAACACACGCCCCATTGCAGTAGGAGGGTTTGCCTATTAATAAACATCAATTTGGCATACACTATTTTCCGAAGGTATCACACGCTGGAATCTAAACTTTGGAGTTTAAACTTTTTATTATAGAGAAATGTAATAAAGTTTGTAATAAAACTGTACAGATGCAATAAATTACGTAATGTGACATAAGCAGCTTCACAACTCCTTGTTCAAGCTCTTGTTCTGTCCAGAATGGACTATTGCAATGCTCTCTTGGCAGGTCTTCCCACCAGTTCTATCAAACCTTTACAATTAATCCAGAACGCGGCAGCAAGATTACTGCGTGGTTGACTCTTAACTTTTATAAAGAATATCTCTTTGGATTTGAGACTTTAGTCTTTGCAACTTTACAGATCTTCTTTATGCACCAAGAGCTTGTAACACTCCAAAGAGAAAGGAAAAATTTAAATCGCATCATATGACCGCTTTAATCACAGTGTTTGACCTCAATGTGAGCTTTTCTGTTGAGTAATGTTCTGGCCACAACATTTTAACAATATGAGTAATGTTTCTTTGTCAGGCCCTGGAATTACAAGCTCACCCTCTTTAAACACAAACCCCTTCCTATTGGACACACACAGAAAAGATATTGAATTGCATTGTCCACTTTTAGTGCCACAACCTTGTCAGATCTAACACTTACAGCCCACAATAGCCAACAGCAACATTTCTAACAGAGCACCATAAGCAGGGTTTCTGCATGTAAACTTACGACTTTCTTAAGAAGATTTAAGGAACACAATGAGTTCCAACAGATCTCCACTACTTTTTAAATCATTTTACAAAAAAAAAAAAAAACCTTAAGGTTTGAATAGCTCTGATGCCAAATACTAGAATATAGAAATAACTTTACTGTACATTCTGATCACATTACAAAAAAAAAAAAAAGTGATGTTCTTGATTAGTATTTCCTTCTTGTTTAGTTTGTGGAATGGCGAATTAAAACTTTTTTAGACCAGCAGAAATCCGCACAAGACACGAATGGAATCAAAACACCCAAGTTACACCTCAGACAGTATCTCATAGACTTTTTGGAGAAACTCATTTAAAAAGTTTGGATGTTCACACAAAACATCATGATTACAGCGGTCATCATTGTGGGAATTAAAGTGTTTTAAACAAACATTTGAACTTTGTAAAGCTGCTCAAATCCAAACATTGTGTAACTGGGTAAAACGAAGATTATTAGCAAGATGAATTTCACAGATTCTGAGACACAAGCACTGAACAAACATAAAACTAACTAGAAGGATTGGCATTAGCAGATTCAGCAGATTCAGAAACTAGACGCAATCCACGTGGGTAACTGGCAAGACAGAAATCCAGCTGAGAAACATTTAAAACATTTACACGCGTTGGCAAGGGCACGGAGGTCTCTCCAATCTTTGTCTGTATGCGAGCCACTTGAGCTCCACCACAACACGATGACAGTCCTCAGGATGCGACTTACCAGAAAGCGCGTGGAACTCGTGCCTTGGTCGATAGCGGCTACAAGGGGGCCCAGCATGATCCTGTTCGACGATGCAGCCATTGTACCGTTCATTGAATCAGTGAGGGACCACAGCAGCCAGAAATTTAAGACTGGACGGACGCTGGCTGGCGTGACGTCTGCGAGTACGCGCCGCGGCACGTGATGACGTAAACACACGCCCCATTGCAGTAGGAGGGTTTGCCTATTAATAAACATCAATTTGGCATACACTATTTTCCGAAGGTATCACACGCTGGAATCTAAACTTTGGAGTTTAAACTTTTTATTATAGAGAAATGTAATAAAGTTTGTAATAAAACTGTACAGATGCAATAAATTACGTAATGTGACATAAGCAGCTTCACAACTCCTTGTTCAAGCTCTTGTTCTGTCCAGAATGGACTATTGCGATGCTCTCTTGGCAGGTCTTCCAGCCAGTTCTATCAAACATTTACAATTAATCCAGAACGCAGCAGCAAGATTAATTTTAAGGAGCCGATTTGCACTGGCTACCAGTAGCTGCTCGCATAAAATTCAAGGCATTGATGTTTGCCTACAAAACCACCACTGGCTCTGCACCCCTTTACCTAAATTCATTACTTCATGACTTGCTACTTCCATCCCAAAGAGGCACAAAATCACTTTCACGGACTTTTAAATTAAATGTTCTCTCCTGGTGGAATTACCGGTGTAGCAGTCGATTCTGTTCCCCCTCGGGTTGCC